TGCAATTAATTTTATTCCATACAGCACTGCTTGCTTAGACAAACTGACACTGCTCTTCTCAGCTGTTCTTACCTTTTGACCAGTATTAGCAAAAATCAGCCACGAACTTCAGTGAAGTGCTGAAGGCAGCAAATCATAGAATGGCCTGGGTTGAAAAGGACCACAGTGCTCATCTAGTTCCAACCCCCTGCTATGTGCACGGTGGCCAACCAGCAGACCAGGCTGCCCAGAGCCACATCCAGCCTGGCCTTGAATGCCTCCAGGGATGGGGCATCCACAGCCTCCTTGGGCAACCTGTTCCAGTGCATCACCACCCTCTGTGTAAAAAACTTCCTCCTAATATCTGACCTAAACCTCCCCTGTCTCACTTTGAAACCATTCCTCCATGTCCTTTCACTGTCCACCCTCATAAACAGCTATTCTTCTCCTGTTTATACTCTCCTTTCAAATACTGGAAGGCTACAATGAGGTTTCCCTGGAGCTTTCTCTTCTCCCAGCTAAAGTTCCCTCAGCCTTTCTTCAAACGTGGGATGTCTGGGCATGGCAGTCCCTGCATGTCCTCACTCATCTCCAGGGCTGGCAGAAGCATCGGAGGAGAATCGGTGGTTTTGTTACAGCACGAACACATTGAACACGCTTATAAGCAATCTCTCCTATTGTTGTAGTGCGAGTGTTATTACTTTTAAGCACAATGTTGTTGTTAGTTGATGAGATGCCTGGGCCGAGATACTGCCAGCAGACAGCACTCTCGGAATGTGGTTGCCGTTAGCGAAGTGGCACACAGTCAATATGAATTCCTCTGAATTTACTACTGCCTGTTGACATCTTATTCTGTTACAGGCAAGTATTTAATCAAAGTTTATTGTCATTCTTCTCTGAGATTTAAGTGGGAAATAAAATTTTACGATACGTATAGTATTTTAGATGACGGCTTCATTATTTCCACTGAATAATTTGAAATGCTACAAGGAGAAATATTGATGTCAAACTGGTAATTGTCATTAAATATGCAGCATTTTTGCAGCAGCCACTTGGGCAAAAAAATAAATTTCCTGAACTTACAGGTAGCATTGCAGTACTATCTGAAATTCAGCTGTAAGTTTTTCACACAGAGGCTGGTGACACATTGGAACAGGTTGCCCAAGGAGGTTGTGGATGCCCCATCCCTGGAGGCATTCAAGGCCAGGCTGGATGTGGCTCTAGACAGACTGATTTGGGCTTGGGTTGCTGGGAATAACAAGAATATTGCTTTGGAGCTGGAATTTCTGAGAGGTGTCATGCAAAGTAGGCAGATGGGTTTAATGCTGAACTTCTGCAGAGTGAAGTGTTGCTGTTTATTCAGTATCTCACTGTGCAGTGCTTTATTCAAAACCATGAAAGTATCTTCTCCTTCTAGAATGGAAATGGCAGTAAGATCAAAAAAATTCTGGAAAAACAATCTTTATATTTCAAGCAGAGTTCTGTGTTGTTCTTTGTTCTGTTTTGCCCATTGGGAAGAGTTTTGTTTGTTTATAAGATGAACCAAAAATTCATCTTGGTCTGTGTTTCTCCGTGTAGTTCCTTCTGTTGACTTGTTAATTCAAATACAGAACCTGTACAGTAGGTTATAATCAACTTACTACCAAATACGTTTGCAAAAATTCTGTGTTCATATTTATTATAATCTAACTATGGGATAAAAAGGATTCAATCTTAACTATGTTGAAAACGTTATCTGTTGTGTAACTGATGTAGCATACATTGCTTAACAGCTGTGACTCATAAAATGCAGGTAGAAGTTCAGTTTTGCAGCTAGTGCTTTCCATGTGCAGTTGTGTTAGCAGCGGTTTCACAAGGATAGAAAGCATTTCCAGAGGTTCACTCCAATGAGAGCCCTACTTAATTTCCACCCAAGTGTTCTCAGCGTGAGGATGAAGCTCTTCAGTCAATATCGTCCTTACCAGTCCTCCAGCTGCATCTCAGCAACTGCTTGGCTTCGCACTCCTGAGGGTCACAGCCGGAAAAAATACTCATCAGAGCAAACGTAGTTCCTTGAGACTAATTCTGGGCACTCTGCCAATGTCAAGGTGGGAGAAAGACAAAATGAGCAAGCAAGATCTGAAGGAGAGGCAATGAGGGTTGTGGCAGTAACCCCTGAGGTGGGTTGGATGCATTTGGATCCATTCCATGCTAATGAGAGGACGCCTCAAGAACTAAACAACCTTTTGTTTTTCTTTAGAAGTGATTTCTGCCCTTCTGCTTTGGGCGTTGGTGCTTACTGCTGCGCAGTGCTCTAAGTTTATACCAGCATTGCAGCAATTTGTGGCCAAGAAGTAGTTTCACATCAAGAGAAGGTTCTGACTGGGGGAGATGGGAGACCTGAAGAAATACCTCTGTGCTCTGATCTGTCACTGAGTTTAACTCCTGGTTATTACAAGATGAACTTCACTGTGGTGTCATCATTTCTATTCTTATAATTCTGACCAGGGAGCGGAGTTGCAGCAATCATTGTCAGTGCTGTCTTCTGCTCTGTTTTCCTGAAGGGCGAGTGGCTTCCACAAGGACTGCATCCTTCCCTGCCACCCCACGGCTCTCCATGGCTGATTTCAGATATTGCAGCTTGAGATCTAAACACATACTTGGAGGGGAATTCGTATTGCATGTAGGTAATTTAGTTGCTTAAAGTGTTATTTAGCCAAGAGAAAGCCTCCTCTAGAAAGATTATTGTGAACATCTGCAATAAGAATTCTACCTTCAAGGTTTTGGGTGGACAATTTAGAAGCTGTGAAGAATTTAATATCTTCTGTAAGTCTGTGATGGTGCATAAAGCACATTTGATATGTATCCTGTTAGAGTTTTTTTTTTCATAGGAAATAAGAGGCATTACCTTCTTTTGTAATATATGGTGGTTTTCTGAGATCTCTCTGCGAGGCACTTGGTGCAGAGCGGTGCATTTCTGCGTTAATAACAGCCAGCAATTAAACCCGAACACAGCAAGGAGAGCTATAACATACATCAAACTGAGTGTTGAATTGTACCTTCATGCAATCACTGGTACAGTCTCTATAGCAAAACTCAAATCTCCCTTTTGCTGAGGAACTTTGAATTGCAGCCTCTGTTCACGGTGCTGCTGCTGTCACCTGTTATAAATCCTACAGAGAGAAGCAGAAGGCAGATTTTGTTTCTTTGCCAGAACTGGGGAATACAAATGTCTGCTTTCACCCAGGATTGTGCATGGAAGAAGCCACCTAGGTGGGGTGCTGGGTGCTTAGAGGTGATCTTTGGGAAGTCGTGAAGGCATCAGTGGGAAGGTTCCTATGCCTCCCTGTCACTGTAAGCGATCACAGGGAAGGGTGTGTGTGTTTTGTGGTACTTCACTGAAGCTTATAATCTCTTTACTGTACCAATGACTCTTAAAATCAAGTCTGCCTAGGAAACCCTCATGTTATCTGCTGCTAAACAGACAGGCTGTCAAAATTTTTTTTGACACTAAAATGAGTCAAGGAAACAGCTGGAGTAAGGCTTACAGGTTTATCTGTTTGTTTGTTTGTTTGTTTCTGTTTTTTAACGCTGGTTTTGTCTGAAGATAGTTGTCAGCATTATGTGAGCAACAGTAATAATGGACTAATTAAAACAAAGGGTTTAAGCATAAGATTTGCAGGGGTTGCCAAATGCAGTGCCAGAAGATGTGCTACTCAGAAGTGGGGCTGTCTCTAAGGGGGGCTTTGGTCTTGATTTTCTCATCCAGCAGCCTTGGAACAGGTAGCAGTACGAGTGGGCATTTCAAGCCCTTCCCAATGAACATAAGCGCAAGGAAAAAGAGAAAGTATTTTTAAATGTATTTTTGCAGTCAGATTGCCTGGCTGGGTTGTCTGTTCCTTCTTATAATATGCTTGAAAAGTTTTATTTGTGCCTTGAGGGCGATGAGCCTGTCTTCATTTAGGGATGCAACTGCAGATAATAGGACTGCGCTACTGACAGCTTTATGCAGTCTCAGTAGCAGCCTCCTTCTCTTATTTACACACTTGTACATGAATTGTCTTGCAAAAGCAATCCAGATTTCTATCCTTGTGCTTATAATTGCATCTTGGGCTGCCTTGTTACAGGCCCTGTTCCTGTAAAGTATTGTGGAAGAGCCAGTGTTACTCTGTTGTTGTCATTATAAATTTTATTTTATTTTTCTAAGTATAATTGAGATTGGATAGTCATTATGTTTTTTTCCTGAATTCATAATTAAAGAAACTTCAGAGGAGAATGGAAAACTTTGTAGCTTTTTTCTTATGAAACTTCATCAATTATTGTGTCCTTGTGAAGTCTATGTAATTTAATGAAGTTGCCGGACATTTCCATTGTTATTCCTTTGCTAAAATAGAGTTATGTTCTATTTTACTTTTTAAAACATAGCCCTATGTCTTCTGCTCCACCCAACATCCCTCCTGTGTGCTCTATTCTGCTGCTCACTCTGTCAGACGATCTTTTGGTTGATGTCCTCAACCCTCCAGTTTCCTGCATTCATGTTGAACAGGATTTTTAAGAGATTCTTCTCATCAGGATGTATACTTCTAGTCCTTGTCCCTTAGTTTGTTCCCACAGAAGGTATTTCTTCTTGGATGTGGTTTGTTTAATTGAGCTGTTATTTTGGATCTCCTAGCACATTCAGAAGTGGTACATGGTCACTTCTAGGGAGGTCACAGGAGAACAACCAGTACATCTATTAGATGCTTTTCTGACCTGCAGGCAGAAGAAAACTGTCTTCTATAGGGACCTGCATAATTTATGTTGTGGGAAGTAGGTTCTGTAGTTATAGTTTTTTTGTTTTTATTTTCTGAAGAAATCCTTTTAGGTGGTTGTTCAGCTATTATACTTTCAAGCCTGAAGCCTAACCATGTGTTCTTTTGTAGTGTATTCCTCTGCTGCTGGGCAGATATTTGACATAAAGTCACTCTGTATGATAGAAAGCATTGATAGTGAAGCAAGTCAAACTTCCCTCTGTTTGCTTTGTTCTGTTTTGTTTGCTCTAGGTGAAGAAGTACCATATCACCTTTGCTCAGAGCTTCCACGTCCTGATGTCACGGCTTGTGAAATCCCTTGTGCAACAGACTGTGTGCTCAGTGAGTGGTCCCAGTGGTCCCCATGCTCCCATTCATGCTCCAGTAAAATTGCAGAGGGAAGCCAAAGCAGGAGTAGGTCCATCTTGGCCCTTCCGGCAGAAGGTAAGTGGTAAATATTTTAAATTAGTTGCTATTTGTTTGTTTAATGAATTGACTTGTGTTCCTCTGCCAAGCTGTGTTTAGATCAGAGCAAGTGCCAATACTGAAGCAATGAGAAATAATACATCTTGTCTATCCTTTATGCCTAGCAACTAGAAGATCTTTCTAGGCTTGAATTAATCACAGATGCATGAGTTATTTAGAGAAATTCTGTCATGGTTCAAAATTATTTGCTGTAGCCTATGAGTTATTGTATGTTTAGGGCTAGGACTGGGTGTGAATTTGTTCAGGAGAGATACATCCTATAGTAATGAAATTACAGCATGACATGGAAGCTTAACATGGAAGTGTTTTTATATGGTAACATATTAGTATCGATTTAAAACAGAACAGTGAGCTGTGTCAAACAAGGAAATAGAAAAGGATCTGTTTCTTTTATTAATGCAAACCTGAAATGTGTTAACCTTGTTTTTCTGTTGGAATAAGTAAATAACTTTTGATGAATATACGTAATTTCTGCTGGATGTTCATGGATGCATCTCGTACCTCAAGTTTAATGTACCAACAGCACAGTGATACAATTGTTTACACAGATTATGTCTTATTAAAATGATAGTCTTCTAACTTTGGGTACACATACAGTAATGCAATTCTGTACTGGTTTATCACGGAGAATTTGAATGATACCACTGTGGGCACATAAAAATGCATAAAGCGTGAACAGATCTAACAGACTCAAGCCTTGTTGACACAACAGAAAATATCTACTATTGTTAACACTGTGTGCATCTAATCCATCACCAAAACACTTCAGATGCAAATCCAGTCCAGGAGAACCTCTGTTAAGTGCCATTTTGTAAATTATCATTAAAACCACCCACTCCTTCTGGGGCAGTGTAAGGACTTGATCCTGCAAACTCTTGCTCATATGAATATTCTGTATTCATATAAACATCATAAGCACTTGCAAAGAAAATTGGGACCCTTCAGGATGAAAACTGCTATGTAATTGTTGATTGAATGATAATAACTACTAGTAAAAAAGTCTATATGCTAGAGAATAATTAAACTGAAAAGTAAAGTTGGTTTTGTTTTTTCCATGGTGGGAACATTTAAATAATAGACTTATGTGGAATTGTGAATGTAAAGGCTGTGCTACTGCTAGTGTTGAAGAAATGAATTCCAGAAGTGCAGAAGCTCAGTGATCTCAAGAATACATAACCTGAAACGCAGTAAACAGAAATATAATGCTTTGAACTGAGTGTTTCAGGCTCCTTAGAGAGGAATAATTCATTAATAAAGCCAAACACCCCAATTCATTAATGAAGCCAAACACCCCAAGTGTTTCTGAACATCTTTAAAGATGAATGAAGTATTTTAGCATATAGAGTCAGACAGAAGATGAGAAGTTGGGGAAACGTAGCAAAATTGGATTTAGTAGTGCTGTGGCAGTAGTAAGGTGATGTCATGTAACCTGACATGCTCGTGTGCAGCTCTTAGTGAGTAACCAAAGCTCTGCCAGCCATTGAAGATCGTATTTCATTTGCTCTCAACATAGGCAATGTTGGCCTTGGCTGTGCTCTTGGCACTCCTGGATGTCATCTCATAGTCTGACCTCAGTTCAAACTCTCAGCTCATTTTCTCCAAGCTGTTCACCGGAATGCCATTACGTGAAAACCAGGATGCAGTTGATGAAACTACAAGAGGGTACTTTAAAATCACTTTTAAAAGATATCTATTAACACAGCAGACTTTGGAAAATTCACAAAAGGTGAATGAGGAGATAGCCAGTCTCAGCAGATGTAAAATAGATTTGAGGAGCTGATGAACAGCTGGTCCCTAAAAGGTCCATAAAAGATGACTAAAAGGGCTAGAGAGGGTTGTCCTGTCCTGCTTCCCTTGTACAAAAGTTGTGAATGAGCTGCAGAAAGTGCCTGAGCTCTCATGCTTTCTCTGAACAGCATCTAATGCCAGTTTTGTTGGCAGACTGCTAGGCTTAACAGACATTACTTATGAAAGGCATTACTTATGTTCTGAAATTAAAACTGCCTTGTTATTACACTTGGTGATTTAAGAGAGCTTCCTTACTGTGGATGTTGGAAAAAAACGACAATGAAACACGCAATTTTTCCAGGGAAAGCCCAAGTTTTGTTAGATTTTTTTTCTTTTTTTTTTTCCTCCTTTTTTTTTCTTTTATTCTGTCTAACGGACCAGATATTTTGCCATTTCCTTTTTGTTTTTTTTTTTTTTCACATGTGCTCAAGCACACAAGCAGTTTTCTCTGCCTGGAAGTTTTCAGGAAAGTAAGATACCCAGAGGCGTTTTCCACTCCATCATCATACTAAACCTTTCAGAGACTGAACACGATATGGAGCAGTCCATTTTCATGGAAAAGAAGAAAAAGAGAACAGTAATGTGGCGTGATTATCCAAATCAACGTGCTAAGAAATTCCTGTCCCTCTCTTTCCTCAGTGTTATGTGGCCATTTGGGGTCATGCTTCATTTCAGAAGGCTCAGTCCTGCAAGATGATCAGCATTCCTTAGAAGGGCAATATTGCCTTCATCTCCCGTTGATTTTAGTTAGGGCATAAAGGTGCTCTGAGTCGTGTGGTGTCTGGCCCCGGCACTTCAGTTCTTTCAAAACGTGTAACTTTAATTTAGATGTACATGTGCTGTGTCATAAGTTGCCAGTTCCTCCATCCAGGAAGAGAATGATTTTGATTGTAGTCATTTTTTCTTCTTTCTTCCAAAAATGACAGTGCTTACGGTTACAATTTCATTGCATTACTCTCTAGCTTTTGAGCTATGAATGCCTGCAGCTTTTATGGGCTCAATTCAGACCCATGGCTAGAGTGTTAAGGCTTTTGGGGAGACTGTTCCTACTCCTGTATTTCGTAGATTTATTACAAGTTGCTGACAAAATGTGATATCTTAGCAAATTCTGCACGTGAATTTGGACAATGCTCTCAGGACAAATAAAGGCTCGAGACTCAAAGTCTTTTAAGTTTTTTCCAGCTTGATTTGCAGACTTTTAACCAGCTTTGTATCAGTTAGTAATAACAATTTTCCATCAGTATGGGTTAGGAGCCCATACTGCTCCGTGAATGTAGTCCAAATATTAGGAAGCAATGTTCCTCCTTTGGAAATTAGCAAGTAGAATGAGCATAAAAATAATGCTTAATTTGTCTCTAAGGATAATTGCATGTTTGCTGAGTGATACTGCCATTTAAATTGAATCAACTTGGCTGTGTGTAGGAGTATCAATAAGGTAACTCAGAAATATACTTTGCCTCTTTCTGTTTCCATTATGCATCGGAATGCAATTTTATGCAAGGCTAGTTTAATGGGGAAACAATATTTTAGAAAGTTGTTGCTGCAGCCATAAAGGTCAGCAGCTTTATTTAAGCTTTATTTATTTATTTAGTTTGGGAAAAAAAAAAAAAAAAAAAAAGGAAAAAAAAAAAAAAAAAAGATGTGAAGCAAACCCATCACAGTTATTTTTTTTTCCCATTTCCACCTTTTGCCGCTTGTCACGAGATAAAATATTTTGTTCCTCTCATGCTTTCCAGGTGGAAAAGCCTGTCCTCCTGACCGAGCCCTGCAGGAGCACCGCACCTGTAATGATCACCCATGTGTGCATTTCTTCTGGGAAACCTCCCCCTGGAGCTCTTGTTCTGAAGATGTGTTGGTCAGTGCACTGAACGCAACCATCAGTCGGAGTGGAGAAGCCACTTGTGGAGTGGGCATGCAGACGAGGAAAGTCTTCTGCGTGAGGAGCGGTTCTGGCCATGTTACACCTAAAAGGTATTCAAGGAGAGGTTATTAGTGGTGCACCTTTGTCTGTAGAGCTCAAGTGACGATTTGTCACGGTACGTTACACTTAAGAGTATTTTCAGACAGCGTAGGGAAACAGCAGACTTAGTAATAATTTCATTTCTGCTCTTATTCTCCAGTTGCTATTCTATCACTACTGTTGAAAGGTTATTAATGTGTAACAAAAATGAGTTGCTATCTCATTTTTAATTTTTGTGAGTAAATCCAAGGAAAATGCATGCTTTTAGTGCTATAGATCTTGTTTGCTGTAGCTCCTCTATTATTCTAATTCAGATTTTTTTGCAAATGCTTTTCCTCAAGGACTGGTGTGTGGAAAACACAAAGTATGCCTGGACATAGAGTTCATTAATACATTATTAACAATGCTTTAATAAAATAGAAAAAAATAAGTAGAGTTTGCATTTTATTTACACCACGAGGAGGCAGAACCTTTGTGATACGTATCGTTCTGTTGATTTATGTAGCTGTTGTAATGCAATACCAACGCCACACAATTGTGTATTCTGCAGTACAAGTGTTCTGAATTTTGCTTTGTTTCGCTAAGTGAGGAAAATAAGTAGCACAGATGTTTTCCCTAATATCAAAAAAATCAAGACATTGCTAATTATTTTTTCCACTGATAGTGAGTCTGGAGACTTACAACCGAGTTTCATTTCTTATGGCAGCTCTCAAACAATCCTGTTGGTATAAGCAGACTGTGTTGATTTCTGCAAAGTTAATTAAAATTCTTGAGGTTAATGGGGTTAATTAAATAAAGAGAAAGAAATCTAATACTCATTTATATCTAGAATCTATTGATATGCTGCAACTTTGTCTAATTAAACATATTGTTTGTAGAGCTATATAATGTCTAAAATAGGTTTTCCCCTCTCCACTTTTTGAGGCTGTCTGAGGGGAAGTGGATGTTCCACTGACATGGTTTATGTCTGAGTTGATGAAAACTGACCCAAAGTAATATTGCATTTGGAACTGCTGCTGCGAAAGCCCGCCGTTAATGTGGCTTCAGAAATGGGCTACATTATGGGAATTAATAACCTTTGTGTGCCGTTGGGCTGCGTTTTTCCCAATCTCATGATAAAAACCTACGCAGCAATTTAAGGCAGTTGCGAGGCACAGAATGTTGAGTAAAGCTAGAATTTCAGCGTAAAAATATTTCAGCACCTTACTGGTTGGATAACAGAATTCTGCCCCCTAGAATAGTTACGCTTAATGAGGACGAATGTCTCTTTATTTTCTTCTAAATTATACCTTTCAGTATCCTATTACCATCTCAGTAGTAGAATCATGACTGCAAGGTTTATTTTCTTTCCTAGAGCGATTTAATGGCATGTTCTTTCAGTTCTGATCATTTTAGATTGCCTGTGTTCCTAAGTATTTTTGAGTGATCTTTCTACTACAAATTAATGAAAATTAGAAAAGAGTAATTCCCTTTCTGATCCCCTACTTGAAACGCATGATGTGCTCATTCCCATAAAGTTGTGCTTTTTCCACCTTTTTGTTTTTAAATATTGATTGTCTGTGTCTGAAGCATTTATTAGAATATACATCACATGTTTTTCATTTCAGAGTTAAAAATTGATGCAAAAAAAAAAAAAATCAGATTTCTTTTCCCATACTGTGTAGTACAACTTTCCCCAGCTTCTGTCCTACAAGCTCTTTCTGCACCTTGGGAAGGGGCACAAAGATGGCTTCAAGCTGCTTTTGAATTTCCTAGTGGTTTGAATGTAGGAGAATATCTCATCAGTCCTTACACACAGTTGCAAGTGAATAGAAGGCTGTTGTATGTCATGTTAAACAGGATTACCTTACAGACTCAGTTTGGTAATAACTATATCTGTTTTGCTCCAGTGAGCATTGTGTTTTAGGCAGCAGATAGTGTTACATTTACTCTGTAGTCATCAGGCCAAACTCAATATTTTTAAAAATCCGTGCACGTGTTCTAACTTTGGTTTGGTTACAGGCGTGCAAAGTGGAATGGAAATGAGACTTGCTGTGAGCAGGAGAGATTCCTGTGGTGTGGCATCAGGCTCACAGCACTGTGAGAGTCTTATGAGCTGAACATTTCCCTACAGATCTGTTGTTTGTTGAGGAAATAGTATCTCTGCATTTGTACTTACAGATGTCCAGATTCCACCAGACCTGAGACTATGCGACCATGTCTCCTGCCCTGCAAGAAGGACTGCATCGTTACGCCTTTCAGTGAGTGGACTCGCTGCCCAACAGCATGTCAGCCTGGTAAGCCTATAAAAGGAGAACAGAATTTTGGGCAATTGATTACATCCATAGCCATGAGAAAAGGATGGAGGGGCACGAGGATCCCCCTGAGGGCTTTCCAGATGTCCTCTGTGCATGCCATGTGCCTTCACCTCTCCCAGTTACTGCTGAGACTTTGGCAACTCTGCACTCTTCCCAGCAAAGGCTCCTACCAGGTGTTGAGGGTCTCAGGCAGAGACTCAGGCTGCTGGTGCTGCTACTGGTGAAGTGGGAAATGCAGATACCAATGGGCAGGGAAGGCTACAAGTTGTCAGATCTGCAAAGACCCAAAACCTTTTTCTCATTGTGCATCTTCCCACCATGTTGTCCTTCTACCTAATGCCTACAGGAGGGTCATGAAAGAGCTTGAGATTCAGCATCCCATGCATTGAGGGAGAAACTTCAAAGATGAAAGTCCAAGGATCCTCTGTTGTATGTGGAAGTGCTGTGTTGTATGAAATTTATTTCCAATCTGAATGTATGCACAGGGCTGTGTAGATAACCCTTTGTGGTTTTCTAAGGACCATATGTTTCTCTGATCTAGTTGGTTAGCTTTTGTATACTAGATGTTTAGTGAAGATTCTTTATAATGATCTAGTGTTGGCTTTTGTGAGAAAATTACGTGTTTCATTAACTGTTGAGATGAAAGACTTCATAGTTACCAGAATATTTCCTTTTTTTTGGCAGCTTCTTTGCCCTTCAAAGATTCTCAGTGGATGCTCTATCATAGTCCTTGTAAGATTTTATAGGAAAATGAGTTCTTTCTAAAACAGTGAATCCTGTTTTAATTAGCAATTTATTTTTAGATTTTAAATGAGCTGCCTATGAAGAAGTAGAATAAATTACCTGGTAAATTACTTTGTTTATTAAATAATAGTCTACAATTAAAATGAGAAGAAATTAATTATTTAACCTCCTTGGCAGTGTTATCATTTTAATATAATTCTAAATTAAAACTTCTTAGATGGGGGAGTTTGCTTTCTGCTAGATCTGTTATTGATACGGCTGCACTGCAAGTTTTTCTTAATTTGCATTGCACAATTAAAACCTCAGCGTGATAATGAAATTTCAAAAACGCAATGTGTATGGGAGTCGTTCAGGGTTTTGTTGCTTTGTAGGAAAGTTATATTTAATGAAAACAATATACAGATGGTGAATTACTAAGCAAATCAAGCAGAAGCAGGTATTGCCTGACAGATTTAAAATTAAATGTATACCAGCAGAAGATGAGAGCTTAGACAAACATGCAGCCACTAAATCAGGTTTACACAGAACTTTACCAGTTAAGCTGTTTGTAGTTTATCTGAGAAAGTGCATCCAACTTTACTATCTAACAGTAAAAAGCTGACATTTTCCCTACATTTAAATGTCATCAGACAAGAGGCTGTCTTCTGGCAAAGAATTATCTCATACCTCAGAAGTGTAGACAGCAGTGAACGTAGGGCAATAACAGATGGACGGACGACATAATTCACAAAAGAAGTGCAATTGAATCAAAACACCTGTTGGTGAGTCAGGAACACAGAGGTTGTTGCGAGTTATTGATTCTCTGCCATTTCAGATACTTAAAGGTGACAACTGTCTACCACACTCCCCTATAATCTATCTCTTTTAATGGGTCTTTGAGGATGAATTGAAGCAAGATTCAGAGAACCGGCATGGAGGTTTTGGAAAATGAAATGGTTTGAATGAGCAATGTTTTTTTTTGTATGTGATGGTGAATAGAGAGGTATCTGCTTTTAGCATGGGTGATGTGCTCTCTGTTCTGTCAGCATAGCTTTAAAATGAGATCAAAACAAAAGTCTCAATAAATAGATGGCGACGTGAGTACTTCTTTACATTGGTTACCCAGAGTGAAGGTCAGCAATTTCATTGTTGCTTAATGATGTTTCATGTGCACTAGTTTACACAAAGTTTTAGACAGTAACTATCCAGTTTCCTTGACTTAAAACATATTTGAAACATTAAAGTTGGTTCCCTCATTTAGAAATTCCAATGGCTTTTATCTTGTGTCAGTTTCTCTCAAGGATTTGCCACTATCAGATTTCATAAAACAACCAGAGATGGTCAAGCTTAAACTTAGGCTTTCGAAACTCTTATGTGCACAACAATACTGGAGACAGCTCTGATTTTGGTGATTGAAATCTTAGAGGATCTGTCCCTGTTATTTGTGTGCTTGTAGAGTCTTTTGCTGACCAGTCTGTGCCCTTCTCTCCAGTGTCAGAAGCACAAAAGATGAAGCTGAATGCTTTCTGTAAAAGCTGCGACAGCGATTTTATCAAGATAAAGCTGGGCTTTAGAGTAGTGAGCAAGAAGTTTGTCCCTCATCTGACAGTAATCCACGTTTACTAGCCCTGAGCAGAGTGCCAGCGAAGCTGTGGGGGTCAAATGGAGAGAAAGCAAAGATGTGAGGGCAAAAGAGGAATGAAAGGAATGGATTGATAGCAGTTGTATGAATCTGTGGGTAAAGAGAGAAGACTGGAGATGGGACAGGTGGGTGGGAATAGAAGCAAGGTAAGACACTCCCAGAATTCTCAAATAGCATTTTCTGAGTTGCGGAGTTGACGGCATGGAATTTGTCTTGCGATCCTGGGACTTGATTTTTCAGAATGGCAAACGGTCATAACTTACTTGAAGTCAGCTGAAGTTTACCTTTACATGAACAGTCCTATATAATGTTAATACCTTGGAAAATCAAGCTGTAACAATCTTAAATGAGGTATAAAAATTACATTCAGTAACATTTGTAAGGAATCCTGTAAAAAAGCCAATGAGGAAATTCAATTTTGAAGATGGGGTTTGAGTAATGTGCAATAAATGTTGAGGATAATTTAGTTTCTTGAGGTGGAGAAAATTACTGTGGGAAGCTCATTTAGTTTTGATTCTGATTAATAGGAAGAAAATGGCTAAGATTCTAATGGTGGTAGACAATTTGAATTAGAAAATCATCACAAAGAAAGAGATAAAGTTCATGATTCTTAGGAGAAGGGAAAAAATAGCAGTAGCAGAAAGACATTTCTGCTACATATTTCAACAAATGCAGCAAATAGATAGCTGCACCTCTGGTGAACATGTTGCATGCAAGCAGGAGTGTGGAAGGTATGGAATCTACCAAGGAAGACTGTACAAAAGGCTGGAACCCAACAGCACTCTACTTTTTTCACTTTCTATCCCAAATAAATATCCTACTAGTAGCTAGTAGGGCCAGCAGCTTCAAACATGGAAAACATCAAACATGGCTGTTTTTATCTTTTCATCAGAATTGTTCAAAATCTTTTTATTTCCAAATTGTTTTGCAGAAATTAGAAACAAGTATGTAACTGAAGGTAAATTTAAAGGAGTGCCTGAAAGTATGATATCAAGAATGCAAATTAAGTTTTAGCCAATAGGAAAGTGGATTGAGTAACAGAAATGGATTGGAAGTAAGTGGAAGCTGGATGGAAGATATGTCCAATACTTACTGGCGAATGTACTGTGCTGCTGTTGCTTCCCGTCTGCTGTCAGGAGAGGAATGGACTGAAGAATAAATATTTCAATGAATCATCTGTTTCCATGTCGGTAGGGCTGTATGAATAGAAAAGGAAGCAATGCCAGAGCATCTCGTGGTTGCCTTCTGTGTGAGAAATTGCTAAGTCCTAAAGAACTAAATAAAACCCCAAGAATAAAAAAAAACCAACAAAACTCAAAAGAAAGGTCAAGGAAATTATAGATCACTCATCCTAACTTCATTACGTAGAAGCATGAGAAGTAGCTATTACTTGAAATATAAGTGTCTTAAGAATAAGATTATGATAAACTGGTCAGTATGGATTTGTTGAGAACAAATCATGCCCCGTAAATTTAATCTCCTCTTTTGACAGCATAGCCGCTCTAATTAAGGGAAGTGGTAGATTTTTGACACATGAAACTTTTATCAGAAAGATGAGGAACGAGTGGCTTGAATTAAATCATTGTAAATGCATACTGAGCTCCTTGAAAAATGTCTTAGTGAATATCACTGTGAAAAGTGTTACTCCATCTCCTTTATGGCCCCTGGTCAAGTATACTGATACAATCCTCAAACTTTCTTCTCTCCAGGTGAGCAGTTCCAGCTCTGCTTGCTTTTTCTATGTGTCAGACACTTCAGTGCCTAAATTATCTTTATGTCTGTTCAATGAACTTGCTCAGTGTTCTGTCCTCCCTGTCCTGTCGAGCCCAGAACTGGACACAGCCCCAAGATGGCTCACCAGGGTCCAGCAGAGGCAAAGCCTCCCTTTCCTTCACCCTGCTTTGCTGTAGTGCATGGCTGCCTCCTGGTTGACTTGTCCATCAGAATGCCCTGGTCCTTTGCAGTTGCTGCTTCCAATCAGTTGGTTGAAGATTCCAAACTATTCACAATCAAACTAGAATAGGAACCAAGGAGAGTCCTACAGAAAATTGTTCTTGTCCCTACTCTATTTTATATTTATCTGAAAAACTTGATTGTTTGCGTTGATACCATTAATGGGTGGTTCTAAGGCGAAGGACAACTACAAGATATTAAGTGATGTAGGAATCTCTGAGATTTGCTACTGCAGCCTTGCCCTTATCTTGAGCTGGAAAAATAATTCTGTTATTCACCACTTTCCACAAGTTTTATGAAGTCCACTGTCAATCATAGGATGGGTTTTCCTGCTCTAGAATTATTAAAATTATATTAATATTTTATTAAGAACCTTTTTTTTCGTTTTTCCCCAATTGCTGCCATGCACAACAGTTACACCAGCTCTCAGTTTCAGCTTCCCAATTCTGACTAGTGCAAGTCCTGTCTCCTGTGCTGCGTTGTGTGCCATACATACATTGTGAGCTGTGTTTCCAGGTTCATTGAGCTTGTGTGTACTCAGGCTAAGGAGAGAATTAGCCTCCATTGGTTGTGATGGCTTTCTTATCAGGAAGACACCATCTGTAACTCCTAGATTAGTACAGATGGCTTACTGGCAGTAGCCTGAGACCACCAGGATACAAAATCTTCCATTGTAACAGTTGCTTTTTTTTTTTTTTATTTTCTTTTTTCCTGCTCAGATGTTTTAGCATTTACTTGTACATATTTTCTTGACTGCTGTGATGTTCTGTAAAAAAGCCATTTTTAAGTATGTCTCAAACTATGGATTTATGATGCTACTCTTCTGAACTGCTTGTAATTTTAAAGAAAATAATGGTAGTTTTTGGCTCAATGCAGCAGCCACCCCTTCTTTATGAGGATTCACAATTTCACAATGTAAATGTAACATGAGAAATCTTGAACCAAAACAGCAAGATGACTAACTCAGCGTACCAACTGTGTCTGGAAAGCATTTTTCTGTGTTTTACAGGCAATGCCACAGCAGTTAAGCAGTCTCGGTACAGGATTATCATTCAGGATGCTGCCAATGGGGGACAGGCATGCCCAGACACCTTGTATGAGGAAAGAGAATGTGAAGACATTCCCATCTGTCCAGTTTATAGGTAACAGTGTTAGCTTTGAATCAGTCTCTTTCTAGTGGGCTTCCATTTCTTCAGAAATTAATCCTGTGGGATCATCCAGCACAATTTTCGCAAGAAAATGACGTGAAACTGAAAAATGGAGTCAGTAAACAAACAATATATGAACAGTAAGTTTTGCTAAACGTAGAAGAGTTCAAATTGGAGATTTCAGATGATCTGATTTCATCAGAATGTGCACCAATAGCTCCTAAAAATGGTAAATTCAGGATTGGAGGTGTTTAAGGAAGGTTCTACTGGGAACTCTCTCCTCAGTGTATCTAAAAATCAATGCAAGCTATTTTGATACTGCAGGCACTCAGCTGCCTTAATCATAATTGTATGCTTACTGCAGAAACACTGTCTTCTCCCCTGATGCTCTCACTCCAGTGAATAAATGTGCACTTTAAATTTCTGATTAGACAAATAGTACAATAGGACAATTACTCACCACTCTTCATTAAAATTCTCTGACCCATCTGTTATAGAATGTTAGTAAATATAGCCATATTATATCTTTGCAAATCTTCAAACTGCACACCCTGGTCTCAGAGCAGAGCAGGCAGCTGAATGCTGGGACAGAGCAGGAGTCGAAACATTCTGTGCTACATGGCCCTGTTCTGCACAGCACTGTGGAAAGCCACTGTCTTGCATTCTTGGTTGACGCACATCATAGCATGCAAAGCAGATGGTGCATGAGAACAAGATTCTGGGAGAGGAGCCTGATTTCAAAGCACGCTGAAACTGTTTGCTGTTTTATTTTGTGACATTGAATGGTGCCCTAGAAAAGTCAGGGAGGGAAGTATGGTTGGAGAATGAAATGAGGGTGAACCCTACATCTGAATTTCAGTTCGTAATGCATATTTCAGGAGTGATTACAACTTTCTGGCTATTTTTCCTCAGGTCTTTGTAGTATATCATCATTTCCATCTCAGCTTTCTGAAATTCTTTTCTGGGAATATTATTTTCCAGCTTTAGCCACTTAGTCATTAACATTTTCTTCTCACAGGTGGAAGACCCATCAATGGAGTCATTGTGTACTCGTGCCAGAGTCAGTGAGACAGAATGTGCTGGGACATAACGAGGCATGTGGACATGGTTTGCAGTCAAGGGGTAAGCTTTCTCCATGTGATCTGCAAGTACCTGAGGTGATGGAGGATGATATTTAACAGAGTCTTTATTCTTTTAGAGTAGCCAATTTGGAAACAGTGGCTAAAGCACTTCAGGTGTAAAATGAAAAGTTTTGGGAAGTGGATCCACTGTATGGTTTTTCTGCTTCATCGAAAGTCAAAATACCAGCAACATGATAGTGTGCTTGGAGTATAGGAACAGATTTATGCTTGGCGTTCAAGTATCCTTAGGGTAACCTCTCCTTCTGCTTAAGGATGAAGCACATTGCCTTAGAAAGAGCCATATCCATAGTTCTCTGTAAAGTAATTGCTTCTTGGTGCTAAAAATGGAAAGGATAAGTTCCTTGTAATTTTAAATTTTACTAATAATTTGCCTGAGGCCTGCTTTTATCAAGACTGTTTGAGAAATTCAGCATTGGCAAAGGCTTTGGGCTCCTGCCCTTTGTGTGCTTAAGCACTTGGAAAATACAGTGATCCAGTTGTCTGAACAGAAGTGTTAAAAAGAATTTCATTGTTCTGAGTATGTGATCAGAGTCTGTAGCAGTTCCTGCAGATGGCTTGAGATGTGTCTGCTATCAGTCTGTTGAGAAATCTAATAAAACCTTTAACAAAAGGTTATTTTTATTGAAAAAAGATTACTATACAGGTATGCTAACTGAAGAAATTTGACATAGTAATTTACTCCTTCGCAAGGTTAGAAACTGTTCTTTAAAGATGAGCTGATTTTCTTACATAATCTGGAAACAAAGGGAAAGAAAGAAAAGCTCTGGCAGTATGTGAGCTGCATCTGAAAGAAGAAATGTTTTAAACTAAAAGAAGTAAATACCTTTAGGTTTTGACCACAAGCCTTTTCACAAGTTTTCAAAGAGAGCTCTGTAAATTGAGACGTCCTAAAATGTATTCCTGGATCTCTGTGTGAAGGAAGGGCAATCTTTATGCTCCAGTAGTTGTATGAACTTTTTACTCATCTTACTCTGACAGGATTTGAAGTATAATAGGAGAGCATCATGCTTATTTCTGCTCTGTGGAGAGCTCTCCAACAATTAAATAGGCTACGTACTGCTTTGTGATAGTCATGTGAAAGGAGTCTCACAGCTTGGTGGGTTCAAGCAGAATTTGCTTTGGTGCCAGGTTCACTTTCCATAATTATCTATGATTTTCACAACAGCTCTGATTTTGGCAGTTACATGATGTGATGGTACAAATTGGCAGTGTTGAAGATGAGTGGAGTTTCAGGAAAATGAATTCTCAAATGGAATGCAGGCAGAATTTACAGGGTGCTGCCTACAAATGTGAGCAAAGGCAGCTGAAACCCAGCTACCTGTTGGAGTTGCTTCTGAAAATCAAGCTGGTAGATTTTCAGTAATTATCTATAAAAGTAAGGGAAGCTTCCAAAAATCTGATATTTGCACCTCATCTTGCTTCATGAGCTCTTGAAGAGCAGCTAGCATGTGCAAAGATGTGCTGTTACCAAACTGTCACTGCGTAATCGTTTAGCCAAGCGTGGCAACCCACTTACAGAAGTTGCAGGATCTCTTCTAGCATGTAGACATCACCACTAGAGGACTTGTGAATTTATCCTTCTTCACTATGAAGGTGGCCTTTGGAGGTTTTTTGAAATAAAGCATGAGACGAGGCTGTATACTTGGCTCTATTCAGCCTGAAATCGGGTGTGTGGGGAAGGAGGTGCATCCATTGCGGAGAGGCAGAGTGTAACAGTTGTAGGTCATAGCAACAGAATTTCCAGATCACCTGGGAAGGCTCTAGATTCATTAGAAATACTTAAAATTCAACTGTATAAGGCCACCTTTTCTAACTTTTAGATATGTCCTGCTTTGAGAAGGCATGGAACTTCCAGAAGTCCCTTCCATTCTAAATTGTATTGTCTGATTGGATGAGTCTAAGGAAATCTTTTGAGAGAAAACGGTACCGTTAGTGTAACGTCTCCAGGTGTTGATGTTACAGATATATGCTTTCCTGCAACATTCGTGCATCCTGTCTGAGTTTGCACTTGAGATAACAGCACTAATATGTGCAAGAATTGGCCTGTAAAGTATGTCAGTGTCTTCAGCCAAAAAGTGGCTCCAAATTCTCCAAAGAATATTTGCACAAATTGGCCTTTTTTTTTTTTTTTTTTTTTTTGCAGAGTAGCAACTGTTATCTTATTGACTGAAAATAATCAACATTATTATAGCATCCATTTTTAGAATGTGTTTTTTCTTTCTCTGTCCATGTTTTGACTGTCATTTGAATAAGAGGATTTCAGTTTTCCATGACTGTTGTGGTCGGCCAGATACAAGGGCACCGAATTAATATGAAGTTTTTCTAAAGATAGAAAGAAGATAGAAAGTGTGTTTATGTGTATATGCTTAGAATGTGTTTTAGAATACTTAAAACTATAAATATGCTGAGGGGAAATGGTGTCTGAAATGACTTTCAAGCTCTGTTCTTAGAATAGATTCTGAGATAGATACTTGTAAATCTTATTCCATGAGTGTTGTCACTTATGCACATGTAACATGCTGAAGATATCAGGGTTTATCTCAGTAATGAGCAGAATAGCCAAAAAGATGGTGACCCTCTGAAGCTGCAGTTTTTACAGCTTTATCTTGGAATTGCATTGTACTAATTACAGTGGCCTTTAATTTAGTGTATCACCTGTAGTAGACTTACATGTTCAGAAAGCAAGCATGCAGTTTAGAGGAAAGAAATATTTAGAGCTAAGAAATATAAATGTTATTTAAACTTCATTAAGGCATCATTTGAAAAAACAAAAACCAACAAACCACCTAAAACAGGGACTCGAGGATAAAACAGTGTGGGGATATTACTGTTGCTTGACAGTAACGTAGGCAACATTTCTAACAATAAATGAAGAGCTTTATGAGCTTTTCTATTGCTATATAGCTGTCATTTTCCTCGACAAGTGACTAATTTACTAGAAGGTGTCAAGAATGTGAGAAAATTGCTTCTGCTTCAGATGCCCTTCAGTGACTTTACTGTTCTCTGATGTTTGTGATGGAAGATCCTTCTGAAATGACCTCTCCCTTCAGTGCTGACATGATCTGCCATCTTAGACATTTACATTTTTGGGGAGGAAAAAAATGTGTTGCTCATTACAAGGGATTGTTAACATTTAATTAGTGGATGGAAAGCAGGCTTTAAGCAAATGCCTTTGAAAGCTGCTTCAAAAGCCATTGGACAAATAAATAGACACGCATTAAAGACCAGACTGATCTAATGAGGTACCACTTAAAAATCTAGTCTTGGAAATACCTGACAACATTGTTATGTAAAGAGTAGTTACTTTGTAAAAGCAGGGAGACACTGCAGCAATGGAACATGTCATAGCTTATTTTCTTCTGCTCCTGCTGCATCTCAGCTGTGATTCATTTGAGGGATTTGACCATATCTCCGCTCATTAACAGCAGCAGTGAGTCCATCTCAGAGCTGTACCTCCCCATCAGAAGCACACAGAAATGCTGTGACACAAAGCAGCAAATTCTCTAGGAGAATAATATACTGACTTACATACAGGCAAACAAGAAAGCCACCAATGCAGTAATGAGAAACTACTTCTCTGCTTTGAAAGAAGTGCTCACTCCTTGGCTCACCTGAGGTCTTGGGGTGGATCAATACTAGATTGCCTCCTTGTGCATCTTAGTAGAACATTTTTTTTAGCATGTTGTACTATTAGACCATATATGATCTATTTCTTTCATCCATTATACAGGTTATAAATTCATACCATGTGGAATTTGCTAAGAGAGTTGGTGATAGAGATATAATCCATTTCTGTGCAGAAGTTGATATATGAATTGACAGTGGAAAAAATAGAATGAAGAAAGCACTGGACTCTAAGAGTTTAAGATTCTGCTCTCCTTCTGCTGTAGCTGTCGGAATATTGCAGATGAGGGGTTTTAGACTAAGATGCAGATGGAGGGCTTATCATTAGGAGAAAAAAAAAAAAGGGTAATAGTCTGCCATGAATTTTTTACTGGTGTGTCTATATGCAGAGAATATAAATTTTATATATGGAATAGATGAAACCGGGATTGCAAACAGTGTTTGTAATAAGTTAGTGACTAAGTCACCATTGGTGCTATACCTAATAAGATGAAAGTATTAATTTTGGTGTTGTCTGTATGCATTGTACCTGCAAGACCATTTTAAAGAGGCATTCTTTAGATATATTATTTACTGTGTGATCAGTCTGGAACCAAAGTTTGGGCCACATACATTATTGTTGTTTCTATTGAAATTATTTTATGGTAACCTGTTCATAATGACATGTGCCATCAAAAAACATCACTATTACCATTTTTTTGCTTATTTTCCAGTAGAAAAGTCTTTTGAAGCCAGTAGGCATAAACGCTGAAAATGTGTATTACAAGCATGTACCAATGGAGGGATTGTTAAAAGATGAAAATAATAAGAAGTAAGGATAGTCACCCAGCAGCTCTTATTCTCTGTTCACATGGTAGTGGACTTCCCTCCTTTTTATATGAGAGATGTCAGCAGACATCAGAAGATACCTAAACCAGTGCCACTATATTTCAGTCTGGGTCTGGCTCAAATTCCACCTCTGGTGTGTCTGCTGTAAAAATACCAATTTCAGGAGGTACTTATTGGAATCTTTTTATAATTTACAGGCTAGAGGCAATGCAATATCCCAAAGTTTGCACTGGATATATTTATGGTGGCAAATGTGGCAAAAACACGGACTACTTCAGTTAGATGATGATGTTTTATGACCAGTGGTTTGCAGTGTGAGTCCTGCCTGTGTATAAATCTGTCCAGCTGATAGTGGCTTACCTGCGATCAGTAGTTCCCTCCAATGTTAGCTCTGCCTGATAGGATGCTTGTCCCTTGAGCCATATTCTTAGTGATGCTGAGGGTTTGTTAGTGCTTATTCTACTGATGCTGGTCTAGCAAACTGACACTGATTGACCCAAGGGAATGGCGTGAAGCTGTACCAGGGGT